CTTAGCCTCCGGGTTCTGAACGCCAATCTCGGGGGCTGATGGATGCAGCCGAGGAGGATTGGAGCTCTGCCACCGGGAAACGCGTGCGGTGCCGGGAAGGTGGGCGCCCCACGCGTGCCCTCTGTTCGCGCTCCCGCCGCGGGCAACGGCCAGGGCTGCGCAGCACGGTGGGCAGATGCGAGGCTGGAAGCCAAGAGTTGCCTCTTTTCTCCAGCTTTCTATAAGGCCCTGTGCTCCCGCCCCTGAAGACAAATGCGAGGCCATCAATTCAATTGGGATTCGAAGTGTGAAGGTTTCAGTCTCTAAAACTCTAGTGGAATTAGGAGCTAAGACCCGAATGGTTTCTAAAGAATCTCATTTGGCTCCCCTAACAACTTGCAAGAGTTTCAGTTAGTGGGAGCTCCTGATGTTAACTTGTGGCATTTGTGGCTTTGTTTCACAGTACTGGCTGCTCTTGGTGGAAACAATGCCCCTGCTTCCTTTGGGGTACCCAGGACCATCCCACTGGTTCGGCCCACCCCCTTGAGCAGGTGCTGACAGTTGCTACCCAATATGCAGCTATAGCGAGTAGAAGCTTTGTAGTCCTCTACGAGTGCGAATCACAAGTGACAAGATCTGGCCAGCTGCGCGGTTCTGCAACCCTTTTTTTGGCCATCCTTATGGAAGTGGACCTCCTACTGGACCTTGCATAGTGACAATTTGAGTTTAGAGCTTGCGGGTCACCATATGAAGTCAGAAAAGGAAGCTAATGTTTAGGGAGGTCAGCCAGGCAGTTGGGTTAAAGGCAAACCCAGATCGTTAGGCTCTAAATCGAGTTATGGCTGAAACAAATTCTATCTCTATCAGTCAATAAGTTCACTTTTGGCTAAAGGCAGTGTTGGTTAAATTTTCTACCCTTAAAACTGAAAGAGATTGAAATGATACAGAAACTGAACATTTTGGTTATTAACTTCATGAGGGCCTATGGATATGTATATAAAGACCTTCACTTAGATCTCAATACCCTTAATTTACTTCATTTTTTTTTAAATGAAAGAAAGTTGTATATTTTTCTTGCTCTGTGTGTAGAAGAGGATACAGAAGTGACTCTCGAAGCCTACAAAAATGTCTGGATTGTGGAATTCTTTGGCCAGATGACATGTATTAGATTGCTTTAACTGATTTTATTTTTTGTTGAAGTCTCCCTTAAGAATCTTATGTCAATAAGGAATTTTAGGAACCTACAGTTTTACATACTCCTTACTCCAGAGAGCTGCTGTGTTTTCTGAGCATCTATCTACAAAATGGTGCTGTGAATACAATAGTATTGGAAAAAGGAAGGAAAGGAAAAGCAGAAACTTTTCTTGCACTACAGTTACTTATAATGTGTCGATATAGAGATAGGAGGTCAAGGTTTTCCATAATATTTCAGAGAAGTGGGAATATTAAAAATCCATTAATTTCAGAATATTTCAGAGTATGTAGGCAGGTTTAGGAATAATATTAATTTCTTTCACTTTCTATCTTCTTGGCGTAATCAAATCACAATGATACCACCAGAAAATGTCTACAGAATAAAATATTCAGTATATTTGTGACTCTGTGTTGGGGTTTACTTTGGTTAGGCATAATCTGATTTTCTGTTGCTTTGGGGAGAGTTGCCTGTTGCCTTCACCAGCTACTGCTGCTTTCAACCATCTGTCTGGAAGCACAGACAGCTTAGGGTTAATGCCATCTTTACCCTGACATAGATAAATCTTATAGCTCTATCTCAGAAGTTTCTGTCTGTGCACATAAGTCATTTAAGACAATGTAATAGCAGCTAGATATGTTGTTACCTATACTTTCTTCAGTGCCTGGGCCATTTCCCAGCAGGGAGGTATGAGGGAACATATAGGCATGTCAAACCTTGCTCTCCATAGCCCCCTTTCCTATTTTTCTTCCTTTACACAGAGACATGAAGGCAAGAGAGCATCTTTCCCTCGAGAGAGATGTTGTAATTTATTCTAACACTGCTTACAAACAACAACAAATCTGTGGCTGAGCCCATAGAGGCTTATGGAAGAGGCTCAGAATCCTGTCATCCTCTGAGAAGCCCTGAGACAGTATTTTTATCAGATTCTCAGCCTCAAATACAAAAGGAAAATCTATATAAAGTTAAAAACCTACAGATGTCATTAAAATGAAAAAAGAACATATCTATGTATTTTTGTGTATTGAAATAACCAACACTTGTATTTACACACTGTGTCAAAAGGCATCGAATAGCATCTCATGATGATAAAGAGAGTAAACTATGATTCATGTAAGTTAAAAATTATTTGATTGTCTCCTTTATCTAACTTGCTTCTATGTTGAGCATGCTAATTGTAAAAGGGTTTGGGAAAACTCACTTCAATTTATAGAATTCTCAATTTTTCAATGTCTAAATTGAAGCCATATATTCTGACAAGTTTTAAAAGATGCAAATGTTCGCAGAGGACACACCAGGAGTTGTGGTTTGAATTAACTAATAAGAACAAATTTCTTTATAAACTTTCAGTTTGGATTTGGAATAATTAATGACACTGCTAAATGACTGAAAAGTAATGGAGTGAAGATTTAGCAGAAATCGTATTCTAGTTAGGAACTTCTAATTAAACCCAAGGAAATGTACCCAAGATTTCTTTATTGTCACAAAAGATGGTAAAGGGCAAACACATCAAAACCAAAACAAAATGATTGGAAGGATGTCTGGCTACTCTAAATGCATAGAAGGCTAACTTTTATCGGTCTCTCAGTCCTCTTGCAAACATTCCTCTGAAAAATGAACAAGATTGAATTAGTAATGCAAGTAATGAAGTAGATGAAAGTTTTATTTCATGAAATATCAATTTAAAACATAGTACTGGGGCTGGGGATTTAGCTCAGTGGTGCTGCCACCTGCCTTGCAAGCGCAAGGACCCTAGTTCAATCCCTGGTACCAAAAAACAAACAAAAAACATCGTGCTATATGGATTGGAGCACTGGTTCTCAAGCTTCAGTTGCCTTCCCCTCACCTGGAGGGATCATTCACTGGAGTGCTGCTGAGCTCCACCCTCAGGTTCCCCTTTAGATCAGGGTGGGCCTAAGAACGTAGATTTTAACCAGTGTACAGATGAGACAGGCGCTGTTTGCCTGAGCCCACAGTTTGAGAATAGCTGGATGAGAGCATTCTTGAGAACAGAGAGTGTGTCTTTTTATGGTTTTTTGCATATTTTTATATATGAACATGTATTACCATATAAACTATTTGATTTTCAAAGCTAATTCTGTTTTTTCCTTAATCATAATAATAGTAAACACATTATTTGATTGATTTACCAATCAGGTGGAAAAAGACTTAAAATATAGGGCCTTTAGGGTAGTAAAAAATATATTGAGAAACAGAAGAATGGATGCTACATTTACCTGCTCGATAGCTTTATCCATCACTGGTTTGTTTTGTGTTTCCCACTGCCCACGTACAGTGCCTTGCACATCAGTGGTCATTTAATACACACCAATAGAAAAGTTATTTTCTTCATTTAATAGATAATGTTTTACACAGTCCCTGCTGAAGGAAGTCACCTTATTTCTTTTTACTTTCTTAGTGAAAAACTCCTCTCCATAATGATTTTCTATAATTTCTTTTCAATTTTCAAATGTTTTATCCTCAAAAATAGCTTTCTCCCTATGTGAGACTAGTTTAAACTTTTATATATTGATCAGAAGTTATGTAGTTAATTATAAGCCTTGTGTGGTGACTATTTGGCAGTAAAAAATTCATATCTATAGGTTTAGCATAAACCATGGAAATAACTTGTTTCATCTTAATGGAGAAATAGAAGCAATCATCAG